AAGTGGCGTGAAATAACGATAAGAATTCTGAAAATTGTCAAATAAATTGCACTTTGTGGGATTCAGAAATAAAAATCTTCTCACAATCTTAACAATGAACTGAGAAGTTTTTAAAAGAATTGCTCGATTGTTTAAATAATTGATCAAAAGACGGACCGACCGACGACCGCTTTCAAGCAGTAAAATCAACGCGAAAAAAAGATACTTTTGAATTGCATTCTGGTTGCACGTACATAAACTTTTTAAGTTCTAAAATATAAGTTTTTCCAGATAATCTATGCACAAAATTTTTACGGCACATAAAAATTCTGCGAATTAAGACTTTTCTAGTCATGTTGTGTTTTTATCCCGGAAGTCAGATTGGAACGCACAGACAAATGCAGGTCTAAATTTGACTTTCCATGCTTGAAGTGCCATCTCTTGGTGTCTAAACTGAAGCTTTTAAAGCAATATTTCGGATTGTAAGTTTGAACCACTACACTTGCAACTTTTTTTCGAAGCGGTATTTTGTATGGCGAAGCTGTCATTGGGATCAAATGCAAAATGTAATTATTAAAAAAAAAAAATACTCATTACTATTTTTAATTAATTTATTTGAGTTTGCACTAACCGTTTTTTGTTTCCAGCTGCCCACATAGCGCGGCAGTCGGACGCGACTATCGGAAACGACCATTGGGCCAAATTTTAATTTGTTTAATTTATAAATTGCTACAAATGTTTACAAACTCGCAATTAAATATTGCCAAATTTAATTTATAAATTGCTATGTACAAATGTTCACAAACTTGGATTCAAATATGGCTAATGAGAATTCGTCTCAATCTAGTCTATCTAGTCTTTGCAGTTTTCACTTTCTTTGTTCCTATACCGCACGCAAATACCGTTTATATAGACAGTTATGCAGAGACTGAAACACTTTCGAACAAAGCCCATCGTTATAAATCAATTTCAAAACCACCTCGACAACCTCAACAACCCCCAAAGTGGAAGGCCTCAACGCCATAGGAGGCAATGGAAGGGTGGGTCAGTTGGAGCTAACATGGGAAAGGTACACCTCAGTGCAGGTTGATGTTTGAGACGAATCGTATAACGACGGCATGTTTTATGTATGTACACGCCCCGCCTGCACAATTGACAAGAACAACAACAACAAATGTGTGGAGAGTAGTTAGTAACACGCGAGCCTAGTACGAAAACGGAAATACACTTTTAGCGCGAAAATAGCGTCGTACGACTTAGGCTAATACGTGTGAGTGTGGGTGCGCATATGTATGTATGTGTGAATGTAGATGGAACAAAGTCTAGCATTTGCTAGGTGAAATATGTGCTTACATACATATGTATGTATGTATATATATGTATTTGTTTATAATTTACTTAGTTAGCGCATTAGATACTGACTACTCAATCCAGCAAATGGAAGTGAAGTAAAAAGATCAGAGCAGAGGTGGAGATCATACTTAGTAATGGGGAGCAACCTTAGAAATTCTACCCCTACATCGCACATTGAATTTTTTAACATGGGACTAGTAAATTACAGTGTTGCATAAAAAAAAAACCGTAAACATGCAGAAATGCACGTACAATTCTAGGTGGAAGTGAATGCCTGAAGGAATTAACTACGCAAAAATGCGTAAATGGAACACCTACTAGTATTCAATTATTGATGAAATAGTGCTATTGAGCAAATAAACAACTATGTATGTACATTAGGGTGGTCCTTAAATGTAGGAAGCAAATTTTTGCATCCGATTTCCTGAGCCTCAACCTCAAGATATCACATATACATTTTGGTCCCGATTGGAGACGGTTAAGGCATGTTGCACAGGGGGCAAAGTTCAGATTCCTTTATGGAAACTCAAAAAATTAAAATTATTTGTTTTTCGTCGAATACCCAAAATCGACACTGCTATAGTCGATATAAATTTTGGAACAAAAAAAAAAATTTGGGACCAAAATTTTTATATGTTATCTTCGACTCCGGTAGTATAGATTTTGGGCATGAGTTATCAAAAAAATTAATTTTAGTTTTTTGAGTCTCTATAGAGGAATCTGAATTTTGGCCCCTGTGCGACACATCTTAACCGTCTCCAATCGGGACCAAAATTTGTACGTGATATTTGTGACCGTGGTATTACCGATTGAAGGCGTGAGGCTGAAAACAATCGCTCATTTTATTTTTTTCAAGGGCCACCCTAATGTACATATAAGCTTTGCCTATACGTAGATATGTACAAATGTATGTATGTTTGTACGCAGATATGTGTATACTTCTATTTACATACAGTAGTTCAATGAGGTGAGCGAAATATTTGTAAATCATACATACATATCCATACAATTTCCTACTGCTATCTTTTTAGCGCAGTAGGTCACTCAACGGCCACAGCATAAAGTAATGAACGCAACATTAACAAAGTGGGCTTTCTTGCAAAATATTTATTTATTATACATATATTGAATGATTTTGCGCATCAGAAAATGCTTTGCGACAGTTAACCTACTACTCATTGGTGTACACCTGTGACCATACGATTGATCGAGCGCCAAGCCCATTTTTCGATTCATTGGATTGGAATACAGATGAAAATTGCGTACAAGCATGAAATCCACAAAGTCATGGAATTGTATGTGGCACACTGACTCATGCTAAGAATCAAAACAAACACAAAGTCTTGCGGAACAACAAGGTCTAAAAAAAACAAAACGGAAACATCAATAAGTTGCTATTTATTTTCAAACTTTGCGCCCACATGTCGTTTTTGGTGGAACGGGATAAAGAAAGCATGTCAGCTGTCAGTTCATTTATCACTTATTTTTTGGATAATTCGCTGGGTATGTACTATAGTGCTAATCATAAATATACGATAGCCATATTTTGACAAGTTTTGATTATTTATTTTTTATCATTTTATTATTTTTTTTTTATAGAAATATAGCTCCATTAGGTAATGTATGAATGTAAATCCTCAAACTATGGGCAAAATTAAAAAAAAAATCAAAAAAGTTTGAATGAAATTATTTTTTTTTTTTAGAATTTTTAGAAAATTTTCAAAAAATTAAAAAAAAATTGCTCAAGGGTATTTTGCAGAAACTTCAAGCTTGCGTTTGATTATACTTAAATTGAATGAAAGTGTCAAATTTTAATGAAACTGTTGAGTTTTTAATTTTTGTACAAAGTATTAAAATATGATTCATATAAATAAATTTTAAAATTTATCTGCCTTTTAAACACAAATTTTGTTCTAAAAAAATTTGTTTGAAGGAGAAATAAATTTTAAAACCTAAAACCTATAATATTTATATTTTTCAGAAATTTTGAAGCATTTTTTCGGGAAAAATTTTAGCGATATACTTTTTTCGAAAAAAAAGTGATTTTCATTTAATGAAAGCCATGTTAAGTAATAAATCAACATTTTTAGCGTTTAGCTATTCAGCAAATAATACGAGCACTGCTAATATTTATTGCCACTGATATACAGCGTAACTAAGAAAGATAACCTTAATGTGCCTTCTAGGCGATTTAGTTGCCCTTGTACGGAAATACACTGGTATCTGGGATAGTAAATTTTTCACAGATCAGCATATCAATTGCAATAAAAGTTAAGTTATAAATCTGGCCAACTAATTTGCCATATACCAAAACTTCAAATTCTCATAAATAAAACGCTGGGTAACTATAAGGACGGAGGAAGGAAGGCAATGACGTCACAAAATAGTGACGCAAACAAGCCTAATAGAAAATGCCAAAAAACGGTACATTTTAAAGCAGAATTGACGCATTATAAATATCTAATTTATAATCGATTCTAAAAATCTAAGCGATACGCATAAAAACAATGAAAGAAACGAGTATTTATACATATCGTCGTTTAAATACAAAACCGCGTGTCAAGATAATGCAAAACATCGTATGTAAAATTGATCAAATAACGGATTTCTCTTTTATTTTGGTATGAATGGATAAGGCTTACTGCCAGGAGCTTCCGCAGAGAAAATCACATTTTTCGCACAAATGTCAGTTACTAGGTTTTGCAGAACCACGATACGCAGTTTTACACTTTAATGGATTTACATACCTGAGCAAAATATCTTATTTTCCCATTTTAAAATATTGCAGATAGATATTTATGCATTTATAATTGAATCAATTTTAACCTTTCCTAGAATTATTTAAGATAAGAACCCCAAGTGGCACGACACGGTATGGTATTTTGTCGTGTTTTTTGTTCCAACTAGGAAATCTAATTATAATACTAAAAAAAAAACTATTTTTAGATCTAAAAAAACGACAAAAAAGCAAAAACCAGACTATTCAAGTGTTACATTTGCGTAACGAACATTCCCCCCTGTTAAGTTTTGGTATACAATGTATTAGATACTCATAAAGAAGTGAAAATGTATATTTTTTACTCATTTGAGTGTTGGGATTAAAATTATAAATTAGCGGACTTAAATAACACCACTTGTTGAAGGGGGACGGTAGTGATGCCCTCTGCAGCTCTTAAACTTAAACACTTAAGCCAGTTTCATGAGAGCAATTTAAGTGAAAAAATAACTTTTTTTATTTGAATTTAATATGAAAACTGGCAGTAGTAAAAAAAAACATTTATCACTTACTGTACTGTGCTGGTGAAACTGGCAGTTAAAAAGAACATTCTCAAAGCTCTTAATTACTAAATAAATTGAAGTGTCCTCGATTTTTAGTCTTTGTTGATGGCAGGACCCCGGGCTTGGTTCCTGGTCCGACCAACATAAAAAAATTTTTGTTTTTTAGACCTCAGAGTGAATTTCTGTCATGAAAAATATTTCCATAAAAACATTTGCCGTTTCAAAGCGGCATAAACATTGTAACAACATTGCAAAAATTTCCTGCACTTAAAGTTTTAGTGATGAAACATTTTAGAAGATAATAAGCTTTCGTTTGAAGTACACAAATTTGCTTCCTGAAAGAGATCTTTGAGGGTTGTTATAACTAAAATAATCCATTTAATACATACCGATTTGCGCGACATTTTGATATGTGATGGCTCTTCCTATATAGTCAGCACAATTCAACTCAGTTCAGTCCAGTGAAGAAATAATCTGCAATTAAGTAAAAGATTGTTTATGAATATTAGTTTGGTAATGCAAATAAAAATAATTTTTAATTTTTATTTTTATTTTAATATACGTATGTATGTTAATTCAATCAATTGCGTACAAAAGATATATACGCAAGTTAGAACGAACACACCTTCCCTTGGCCAACAGCAGTTTAATAATTTTTAAGAATAGTGTCCAGCTCTCAAGAAAAAAAAAGCTGGATACTAAGCCTTAACCACAATCGCTGCTGTAGCGGAAAATGTTATTTGTTGTAAAAATTTCAGTAGAGCAGATGTTTTAAGTGTAATTAAGGCTACAGGGTGCCGTGACTTTAATTGCTATTAAAACAATTAGATACACTACATAAATAATCTAATGTCGCTGCATCTGTAAAACTTAAGGAAAGTAGAAAAATAATTTTTATATACAGTATTGGCCAATACAATAGCACCCCCATTTCAAAGTCATA